CAGGTTCAGCAAAAGCATGAAAAGTGTGAGCCGGACATGTCTCGAACAATTATGCCACTTGTCTAGACCTTCTCTATTTGGTCTGAACATGTCCCAGACAAGTCCGGCATTCTCAGCCTTGCTTACATGATTGAGCCGGACAGTCCGGCCACTTGTCCGGGCCTTCCCGATTTGGCCTGAGCATGTCCCAAACAGTTCGGGCCTTCGCAGCCTTGTTTACACTGTTGGATCGGGCGGTCTTCAAATTGCCCTCGTGCAGTGCATTGTCTTTTGGCTGCAAAGGTCACATACAACTTCAGATGAAGGTGACCCAAAAGGTAAGTTGTTTGGTTCCGTCGAATCACACAAATCTGTGGCTGCACCTTTTTTCATTTGATTTGAGCCATCTTATGAACAGTTTTGTGCTGCTCGATATCGATGCTAAACTTTGCAATATGGATGTGTGCTTAAAACGATGCAGGGTTATTGTCTTTTTCAATAACAAAAGAAGATTTTCTTTTTCAAAGATCTAGAAGTTGAAGAATTGATACTTTTGAAAACAAGACTCGCGGCACTTAGTTTAAGCCAAATATACGGACGAGACAGACACAGCACCAATGCACACATGGTCACATATACTCCCTTCCTACCAAAATATAAGACGTTTTTACAGTTTAAATTAAACTACAGAAACATCGTATATTTTGGTACAGAGGTAGTACAAAAGCACAAGGACGCTTCAATCTACACATGAGACGCTCCCCTCCCCTCCATTGTGGCTAGTCTTAACGACGTCTCCACGCGCGGATGACGCGTTGCTTCTCGTGGGGGATCTATTGCCGGACTCTGAAGCAGTTTGTCCAACCTTGGTTTTATAGCTGAAGCAATAAGCGGCGTCTGCCCGACCGGCGGTCGAGAACAAAAAACCTGGCTAGATTCCACGGTGACGGCCACATTTTTCTCCACACCGACGCTGCTGGCGCGATCAGTCCTGCGATGGGTGGGTCGCACCTGCAGAACCCAACAAGACTTGCGTCCTACGATGCTTCAGCCGGGCGCCTGCGCCTGCGTTTCGCATTCAGGACGTGGACACTTCTCCTCCTGAATCATCGATCAGCCGTCCATCCTTGCTTGCTTTGTAAATAGATAAATAGATCAAATGCGCATTTGGCGCTTGGTTTCCTCGTGACGGTTCTCGCCGCGCGCCAGAGCATGCGTTCCTTGTTTGTTACACGATCATGGCGCTGGCTAGTAGGTGGGGACATGTGCCACCAAATTAAGGTGCCTGGTCACCGTCCTAGCTCATAACACTGGCGTCAAAAAAGGGCCTCGAGCGAGCGAAAGGTGATGCGTCTCGTTAGCTTCACGCTCAATGCTCCATACGACACGAACCAACGGCCCATGGGGCTGAATCTGGGTCCTGAGGACATGCATGGCTTGCATTTGTTCACCGGTAGCAAGTAAATAGAGCGATGGTATTTCATTTTTGTATTTGGCGGGAAGCACATAAGCTCTCCATTGCATGGATTTTTCTACTGTATTTGGCATGCCCGACTGTGGCGAGGAAAAAGGCAGGACAAAGTTCGAGTTCTACGGGACATGGACGCGTTCATTTCTTTTCAATTGTTCTTTAAGGTACTACTCACCAATCACCAACAGTTTTTCAATTCTGAAAAGATAGTTTTAGGAGAAGAAAAAGGAGATGGCGGGAAATCCAAGTCTCGGTTGGTCGGGTTGGTCCGGAGATGCACGCACGCACGCACGCAGCCCTGACAGCGGCACAGAGTTCAGTCCAGCGCAGGACACCGGCAAAACCAACCTTTCGCTTCACTTCGCGGCAACGGGGACGGCGCACCCAACCGATCGATCGACCCGGCTCACCCGCGGCCACGCTCCACACGCCGGCGCCGATCCGTCCGTCCACCCGCCGTCCCCGCGCTCGTGGACTCCATCGGACGCACCAGATCGCACTCGCTCGAACAGCCACCCCTCACCTCTCCCACCCGCCAAAAACCATCCTCCCTCTTTAACCCTCTCATATAGCCCCTGCCACAAGCGAACCAGGCACCACCGCCAGCCCACCACCTCCACACCCCTCTCGTCCTGCTCGGCCGGGATCGAGCGAGCGAGCTACACCGCGGGCGAGCGACCATGGAGGCGGGCGCCGGGCTGGTGGCCGGCTCGCACAACCGGAACGAGCTGGTGCTCATCCGGGGGCACGAGGACCACAAGCCGGCGCGGGCGCTGAGCGGGCAGGTGTGCGAGATATGCGGCGACGAGGTCGGCCGCACGGTGGACGGCGACCTCTTCGTGGCCTGCAACGAGTGCGGCTTCCCGGTGTGCCGCCCCTGCTACGAGTACGAGCGCCGGGAGGGCACCCAGAACTGCCCCCAGTGCAAGACCCGCTACAAGCGCCTCAAGGGGAGCCCCCGGGTGGAGGGCGACGAGGACGAGGAGGACATCGACGACCTCGAGCACGAGTTCAACATCGACGACGACAAGCAGCAGCAGCATGGCGCCCTGCAGAACAGCCACATCACCGAGGCCATGCTCCACGGCAAGATGAGCTACGGGAGGGCCTCCGAGGACGGCGGCGAGGGCAACAACACCCCCATGGTGGGGATCCCGCCCATCATCACCGGCAACCGCTCCATGCCGGTATACACCATTTCCCTTCACTTCTCCGTGTCCATCAAGCCCTCGATCACACTTGTTTCAAAAAAAAAAAGCCCTCGATTACTCTAGCAGCTTAAATTAAACTGTTCACCATTCACAACAATTTAGGTGAGCGGCGAGTTCCCGATGTCAGCAGGACATGGCCATGGCGACTTCTCCTCCTCCCTGCACAAACGCATCCATCCCTACCCGATGTCCGAGCCAGGTGACTACTCTTTACATACCCTACTGGTTGATGCTAAGGAAGCATGCAGTTCCTTGTGTTGTGTTGGTGAGCTCAAGTTAGCAACATGAATCTGATGATCAGGGAGTGCAAAGTGGGGGGACGAGAAGAAGGAGGTGAGCTGGAAGGAGAGGATGGACGACTGGAAGTCCAAGCAGGGCATCTACGGCGCCGCCGACCCGGACGACATGGACGCCGACGTGCCCCTGTAAGCGACCCTCACAAAAACAACCCACGCATGCGCTGTGCCCAATTCATATCCCAAGAAACCGTTGCTCACATGCATGATCATTGTGCGTAACGCGCATGCAGGAACGACGAGGCTAGGCAGCCGCTGTCCCGGAAGGTGTCGATCGCGTCGAGCAAGGTGAACCCGTACCGGATGGTGATCATCCTCCGCCTCTTCGTCCTCTGCGTCTTCCTCCGGTACCGTATCCTCAACCCCGTCCCGGAGGCCATCCCGCTGTGGCTCACCTCCATCGTGTGCGAGATCTGGTTCGCCGTCTCCTGGATCCTCGACCAGTTCCCCAAGTGGTACCCGATCGACCGCGAGACCTACCTGGACCGCCTCTCGCTGAGGTACGAGAGGGAGGGGGAGCCGTCAATGCTGTCGCCGGTGGACCTGTTCGTCAGCACGGTGGACCCGCTCAAGGAGCCCCCGCTGGTGACGGCCAACACGGTGCTGTCCATCCTCGCCGTGGACTACCCGGTGGACAAGGTGTCGTGCTACGTCTCCGACGACGGCGCCTCCATGCTGTCCTTCGAGTCGCTGTCGGAGACGGCCGAGTTCGCCCGCAAGTGGGTGCCCTTCTGCAAGAAGTTCAACATCGAGCCCCGCGCCCCCGAGTTCTACTTCTCGCGCAAGGTCGACTACCTCAAGGACAAGGTCCAGCCCACCTTCGTCCAGGAGCGCCGCGCCATGAAGGTACGTACTACAACGTGGCAACAACTCTTCGCCGTACGTCGCCATGAACATTTCTGATCATTTGGGTTGCCACGCTGAGCAGAGGGAGTACGAGGAGTTCAAGGTGCGGATCAACGCGCTGGTGTCCAAGGCGCAGAAGGTGCCCGAGGAGGGGTGGATCATGAAGGACGGCACGCCGTGGCCCGGCAACAACACCCGCGACCACCCCGGCATGATCCAGGTCTTCCTGGGCCACAGCGGAGGCCTCGACACCGAGGGCAACGAGCTGCCGCGCCTCGTCTACGTCTCCCGTGAGAAGCGCCCCGGCTTCCAGCACCACAAGAAGGCCGGCGCCATGAACGCTCTCGTACTGCACCGTCCCTTCTTCAGAGCTTCGTCGTAAATGTCAGAAACTCAGAACGTTTCTTGCTCACTGATCTCTGAATTTTGACCGACAGATCCGCGTCTCCGCCGTGCTGACCAACGCGCCCTTCATGCTCAACCTGGACTGTGACCATTACATCAACAACAGCAAGGCCATCCGGGAGTCCATGTGCTTCCTCATGGACCCTCAGGTCGGCCGCAAGGTCTGCTACGTGCAGTTCCCCCAGAGGTTCGACGGCATCGACGCGCACGACCGATACGCCAACAGGAACACCGTCTTCTTCGACGTAAGCCTTTACGGTTCGATCACACCTACATTATGTTTTAGTCTAGGAGAGCCATGAATCTGAGATTACTAGTTCTTGGTGATCAGATTAACATGAAGGGGCTGGACGGTATCCAAGGGCCAGTGTACGTCGGAACAGGATGCGTGTTCAGGCGACAGGCGCTCTACGGCTACAACCCTCCTAGCGGCCCCAAGAGGCCGAAGATGGTGACGTGCGACTGCTGCCCGTGCTTCGGCCGCAAGAAGCGAAAGGGCGGCAAGGATGGGCTGCCGGAGGGCGTGGCCGATGGAGGTAAGTTTCAGGGGAAGCACACACTGATCATTTTGGTTTCAGTTCAGTCGCTTAGTACAGGTTGGTGAACTTTCCTCTTTGGCTCTCCAGGAATGGACGGCGACAAGGAGCAGATGATGTCCCAGATGAACTTTGAGAAGCGGTTCGGGCAGTCCGCGGCGTTCGTCACGTCCACGTTCATGGAGGAAGGGGGCGTCCCACCGTCGTCGAGCCCCGCCGCTCTCCTCAAGGAGGCCATCCATGTCATCAGCTGCGGCTACGAGGACAAGACTGACTGGGGTTTAGAGGTACAGAGAAACAGCACAATCACCACTTCAGACAGCTTCACATAAATAGTTCCAGACTCCCAGTAATGATCTGTGTTCCTTCCATGAATGGTGCAGTTGGGGTGGATCTACGGGTCGATCACGGAGGACATCCTGACCGGGTTCAAGATGCACTGCCGCGGGTGGCGGTCGATCTACTGCATGCCCAAGCTGGCGGCCTTCAAGGGGTCGGCGCCGATCAACCTGTCTGACCGTCTCAACCAGGTGTTGCGGTGGGCGCTGGGGTCCGTGGAGATCTTCTTCAGCCGGCACAGCCCGTTGCTCTACGGCTACAAGGGCGGCAACCTCAAGTGGCTCGAGCGCTTCGCCTACATCAACACCACCATCTACCCCTTCACCTCGCTTCCGCTGCTCGCCTACTGTACCCTCCCCGCCGTCTGCCTTCTCACCGGCAAGTTCATCATGCCGCCGGTCAGTGCTAGTAAACAGCTAGTTTCCCCATTTGTCCTCCTTCCCGCCAAAATCCACCGGTTCAAATGTCTGACGTTTTTGTGGTGTTATTATTGTGTTGCTGCAGATTAGCACCTTCGCCAGTCTCTTCTTCATCTCCCTCTTCATCTCCATCTTCGCGACGGGCATCCTGGAGCTGCGGTGGAGCGGGGTGAGCATCGAGGAGTGGTGGAGGAACGAGCAGTTCTGGGTCATCGGCGGCGTGTCGGCGCACCTGTTCGCCGTCATCCAGGGCCTGCTCAAGGTCCTGGCCGGGATCGACACCAACTTCACCGTCACCTCCAAGGCCACGGGAGACGAGGACGACGAGTTTGCGGAGCTCTACGCCTTCAAGTGGACCACCCTCCTCATCCCGCCGACGACGCTGCTGGTGATCAACATCATCGGCGTGGTGGCGGGCATCTCCGACGCCATCAACAACGGGTACCAGTCGTGGGGCCCGCTCTTCGGCAAGCTCTTCTTCGCCTTCTGGGTGATCGTGCATCTCTACCCGTTCCTCAAGGGTCTCATGGGGAGGCAGAACAGGACGCCCACCATCGTCATCATCTGGTCCGTGCTGCTCGCCTCCATCTTCTCCCTGCTCTGGGTCAGGATCGACCCCTTCACCGTCAAGGCCAAGGGGCCTGACGTGAAGCAGTGTGGCATCAACTGCTGATCGCGTTAAGAGTTCTGAAGATTGTGCATAGGGAGAAGAACAATTTGGACGCAAGTTTTGTATTGTTGATGTTTTGTTCATGCTATGTTTTGTGTAATATTTTGGTGGCCAGAAATGGTTTAAACAAGAATTGAACAGAGGACCAGACTTTGGATGTCAAGCAAGAATGAACAGCATTCATGTGTTTTAGCTGTGATTGCTCTTTGTGGGTAGCTGGTAAGTTTTGCTGAAATCAAAGCCTAATGTAGCTAAGAACAACGGGTGCATTTACTTGATTTTTGAACGTAAAGCTTAAGAGTAGTATTCAGACTGAGGATAAACAGGATACCAGTATTCACCAAACCATCATAAATGTACAATTCAAAGGACTTTGCATTACAGCAGCCGCAACAGAACACTTTGCTAAGGGGATCCAATACAGTATTCCACAATTCAAAGACTTTAAACTTGGAACTGGAAATGCATGAAGCAGAATTCTGATATCCACCAAACCATTATAAATGTACCCACACAGGTGTTATTTTAGAGTAAATAAATGAACTGCAATCCAACGGAAACATGGATATTGGTACGACTGAGATATTCACCAAACAATGGGGTTGGTTAAGGTGACAACGAGAGCACAGCTACAAAATCTGGCAACACATGTTGCACACAGAAGGGAGAACCCATATCTTTCAGTATCTTTTTCCCTCAAATTTCATTTGTACATTCTCTCTCCAGATGTCAAAAAAATACAGTGGAAAAGAATGGGGCACTACCTTTGAAAAGAAACTAAAAGAGGGGGGAGGGGGAGAGGGGCTAGAAGTGCACTATATATATGGTAAAGGCCATTTACACACGAGGAGACCTACAATCTATCATATCTAAGCACTGTGAGTTGTTATCTGCACAGCATCGCACCTTGATCGGCAGGGGGATGTTTAATACTCGTTCGTTTTGTTATTTCTTATCTACGGGTTCCTTGTCTGTTTGCACAGTATGTTCTTATAGTCACAGGCCAACTTGCACAGGTGTACCTATTCAAGAAGATTGGTGTATATCGTATAGCTTTACCCAGGTTGTTAATTCATCTGGACAAGTCCTTTACTTGCATAAGATGTGTCCGCAGGCTAGACTCCTGTACCTGATTCAAGATACAATAGCACTAGTAAGGTACTGTGTACAACCGCTTCCATCATGCGAACAAATTAAGCACCAGTTCACCACCAATCAGAGAAACACATTTACTTTTATTCGAAATTCAGATCACTATGGTCACTTCTTAGAAGGAATGTCTTCGGAATAGAATGCAATACCTCCAGTTCTGCGGCCATAGCTAAGAGTTCTCTGCATTCGTCAAGCATGACCTTTTCTTGTGCTGCTACGACTGAAAGCTCCGAGATCAAACATGTCCTGTCTTCGACCTGGCAACAAAGATGCTCCAAGTCAGTTAAAACAGTCATTGACAAGAATTTTCCATAACAGTGTGGGATGGCCTTTCTTGGTTCTTAAACTTTTGTAATCGAGTCCATCAATATCTTATTCTTAAGCTTTACTGAAGGTCAAACTTAACAATGCAATCAAGGGTGTGCACAAAAGGATCCAGTTACTGACACATGGACCCAATTTTTGGTGGGGCTTTATTCATAGTTTGTTTGTGACTCAAGAGTCAATATATTTCATCAGTTTAAAAAATGAAAACAAGTCTTTCATGCCAATCCGATAGCTGACGGTTCCTACGAAAAATGGCGGATGCAGAACATCACCATTTTGCGAGGGAACAGCTTTTCTTAAAGTCTGAGTCATACTTGCGTGCAATTCTTGTTATGAATGGGTGTAGTAAACCATGCCACAAGTAAAAGAGCTTACTCTATGGTTGGAGACTTGATTTTATTAGGAGACAAGTAAATATGGAAAGTAAAATTCGAAGTCATACTGCTGTTTACCTTGGAAAGCATAGAACAAACTGACGATCCCAAACCTTGCATGACATCAACAGCTGAGCTTACAGCATTCTTAAGACTAACTGCATCCACCTGTTAAAAAAAAACAGGCAATACAATTAGTCACAATCACAAAAGTAATATCTGTTCACAAGTAGAAGTGCAACAAAAATAGTTTGAGTTTATTTAAATGCATTTTTTCACAGCATACCCTTGCCCCTGAAGTGACTGGAAGGCGCAGTGTACTTGCTTTTAGAGCCTCTGTTGCCCGAGAAAAGGAAAGGTTATTCTCGTCTTCAAGTGCTGGCCATTGTTCGAGGCAAGCAATCTGAACCACAATAACAGCAAATTAAAAAATGCAATGTATGCATTTACAGTCATAATCCATATAATATAGTCATGACTCATGATATTCATTCTTTCATATCCCTAATTTCCAGATTTTATATCACCTCTTTTGGAGAAGAAAGTGTGTTATGACAACTATGTACTTATATATTGTGTTCGAATTTGCCATGTAAGAACGAGAACAGTCCTATCACATTGCAATTAGCTCTTATTCTTTCAAAGAGCACTTTTTAAAAGAAACATGGCTATGCTTCAATTGGTATCAGTAGGAACATGGTAGAAAGTTTGTGCCAACTTGGCCCAAATTGGAATTATACTCGAATGGAAAAGAACATGGGTTCCGCAATATGCTTGGGAGATTATAGAGCCAAAGCCATCATGCATCAGGTGGAGCTTACCTGCTCTTGCAGAATGCCATACAGCTTCAACTCTTGTCGATGACGCTGCACCATGATTCTTCGCAAATTAACAGCATCCCTCAAGTTTGAAGTATTCCTCCAAACATTATATATGGTATTCTGTTTTAAATGAGAACATGGGAACTGTTTCATCAACTGAACATCACTAAACAAAAAAGTAACAAAGCTCACAAGAAAAGTACAGAAGTTATTAATGTCAGCAAGAAGTAGATCATAGGCTTCTAAACACATAGACGACTATGTGGGCAAACATTATAATGCAAAAAATGCTGTCAGTTGTCCCAAACAGTTATCATCACTAAATTCAGTCTTAAACAGCCGTATTATAAAGTATGCTAATTTTATGAGGTGCATTATAAAGTCTGAAACAGTTGCATTATAATGATCCAGACTAACTTGAAACAATTTTAAATAAATAAAATATGCTAATTTTACCTCAGCAGTGGCCTTTTGGTAAGATAGAACATCTTCCGAACGAGCATTTACAAGACGCAATTGCAAGTATCTATTATGCAGCAAACGCAGCTGATGGATATTTTCAATTTGGCTGGCATTTTTCTTTCCCTTTCTTGGATCGACCATGTAGCTAACAACAGGAGCTATAACACCTGATTGAATACTTCCAGCACTTTGTGACCGGCAAGGTGTTGAAGGTCTTGTCCTCGATGGACTCTGAAAAGCCCTAGAAGCAGAGGATGCAGCTGACAAGACCTTGTTTGGTGATGATGAGCGATGAAGAACAGGAACAGGCAAAGTGGTTGTCCTGCTTGGACGGCTCACATATTTAGATCTTTCCGTTGTCTGTGAATAAACATCACTACCAGAATCTAACTGTTCATCTCTTCTTTTTGCATGAATAGCTAGTCTCCTTGCCACGTCATCCAGTGATTGATTCAACCTTTTACCTGCGTCTTCAGAAGCAGAAATCTTCCTTGGTGAAAGCCCTCTAGAAGTGTTTGACAAAGTCACTGGTTTGCTAGATTTGTCAGAAAGTTCAGTATTCGGCATAAGATTGGCAGGCCCACGCCCACTTGTCATGGCTGGCCAACGGTTTTGCTCAGTTGCCCTCTTAGGTAGATCTTCTGAAGGTCGAGAATTCTCACATTGTTCAGTAATTTTCTTCCTTCTCAGAGGACTCCTCTTCCTCTCAGTCAGAACACTCGCCTGTCCCTTGATATGATCTAAAGATGGGCTAGAGACCACCTTATCTTTTTTATTACCAGGGGCAGCCACAGACTCCAACTGGTAGGAGGGAGACAGGTTCCGCATTGCTGGCCACAAGCCATGTGGGGACCTTTCATTTGCTATACACCTAGAACTCTTATTTACCTCTTTGACAGTATCACGGACTGGTGTTATGGACCTTGATGTTGGGGTGGAGGGTGTTGACACCTTAGAAGAAGGGGTTGAAGGTGTTGAGGGTCTTCTTCTGTCTGCAGATTGCGCCCTATTGGGCACTGGTGTACCATTAGTTGTTGAGGTCCGGCCAAGACTAGGAGATGTACATCGCCTTGTCGCAGTAGCACCCTGACCAGTCTTGTACCTGGATGCAACATCTCTCACTCGGCTTAAAGAAGAAGCATTATGCTTCTCAGATGGAACAAGTGGTGGTCTTCGAGTTTCTTCAACAAGAGCAGTTTTCTGCACAGTGCTCTTATGAACATCCATGAAGAATAGTAATTTCTAGAACCAACCACATCAACACGTCTCTCATGAAATTAGCTCCCTGCAGGCTCTACTGCAATGCTTCAGTGGCCCAGATCTGCAGAAGGTCCACATGCAGACATCAAACAATCAGACTAGGCCAAATGAAGAAGATCATTCAACTAGATTCACTTGAAACAAGCAAGACAAACTATCCAGACACACAAAAACCAAGAAAAATACAGTGTCAACATGTTTAAGCAATGTACCAAAGCGATCCTGAAACTGCAGGTAACTGAATAACATACCCACTTCCAGTACAAAACTTGCGGCAGCTGTTCCCTCAACCCTCTCACACAGATGTCATGGTTGGACCAGGGAGGGAGAAGTTATATAATGGAGGCTCCTAATCAAGAGAGGGAGGAAGGTGGCATTTATAGATGCACTGCTCATACACTAATAAATATATATAATGGAAGATGTTTTGTGCAAATTGCTGTTGCCATGTAACATGAGGCATTCGAGCAAGGACGAAGCCAATAAACAAAACTATTTGCGGAGATTCTGAGGGGTTTTGGGACAGACAAGGAAATCCACATCATCACATGCATGTGAGGCGAATCTCTTTGCCTAGCAGATTAACAATCTCCCATCAGAAGCGGCATTGGAAACAAGAGACCTTTTATTAAGGTGCCACTTATGAACCAGGAACATGCATCGAAATTTTGTAATCTTCGATGCAAACGACAGAAAAAGAAAGCCGCAGGACAGGGCACATGCCTATAGAACCAATCGGATTCACTTGAAATTGCCGGGAATTTTCCTCGACTGAATCGACTGACTGATGAAGCGTAAGAAGTATGACAAGTTGTTTTCATTGCTGGCTCTACATTGGATATTTCTTGATGGCTTGCTCGAAGAATTCACCCACCAAAAGTGAATCAAGAACAAATTGCATGAGCACATTTTCTTTGGAGGGCTGTAGGAGGTAAGTGTGGCTGGATTGCTGCTACTAGGAGACAAGATGTGTCAAGTCACCTAACACGATTAATTAACAGCAGTAAAAAATTGCAGCGGGTACTAATCAAGCATCGAAATCACCAAAGAGTGGAGACTTGGGAGCTGTGCTAGAACGAGGACCAAGTGAAACAAACGTACTAAGACACAAATTTCTCAGGATTGACGCCCACAGAATCCGCAGCGGGGAACACAACCCAACCCGCGCACTGGCATCAGCACTCATTCGAGAACGTCGACGAACCCAAGACAAGCATAGCGGCGTCGCCGATGTTCTCTCCGTACAAACCGACTGATTCGGGGCGCATCCAGATCATCCGAGCTGTGCAGTCTCGCAAACATCGTCCGTCATCTCCATTGACAGATTGAACCAACCCTCGATCGCACAGCCCAGCACTCCCTCCCCCCGAACAACAAACAAACAAACAAACACCTGGCGCGCGCCTGCCTAGGTAGGCACATCGCCCTCCTCGAATTGAACAGCAGCAAAACACAAAACCGAAAAACTATCTCCCGCAAACAGGGCGCAGCAACGAACCCTAGACCCCCAGCTCCTAAACCGACCAGACACAGGCAGGCGCCAGGAGGCTCACCTTGAGAGCACCGGCGGCGACAGCTCGGAGACAAAACGCCGCCGGCTCCTCCTCCTCCTCCTGCTGCTGCTGCTGCTCCTCGGGGCGGCTCCGGGTCGAGCGGGCACCAGACGGCGGGCGCTGGCGGATTCGCCACGGCTGGTCTGGCGTGGGGTTTTGCTTCCGCAGAAACAAGAGCAGAGAGGGGGAGGGAGGAGGTGGGAGCAGCAGCGTGGGAGAGAGGGCAGGGCAGAGGGAGGGAGGTTACGGGTGGTAGATGGATTTGCGCGGCGGGGGCGGGATTAAGGGGGAGTGCGTAGTTAAGGAAGACCAGACCAAACGGCTCTTCCCCTTTATTAATCACGGCAACGTTCCGGCACGCGTACCCCGTCCGTCCGGCCGTGCGCTGGCTGATCGTGCACCCCGTCCATACGTACAGTATCCAAACGGCGATGGATGGTATGATGGTGATGATGGACCTTATCTAACGGGTCGGGCGCCATGGTCCATCCCGCTCGCGCTCCTCTTCCCTGCGTGCATACGCAACGGGTGGGTGCAAAGCGCAATCATCAAAGCTCGTAGTTCGTACGTACTTGCCGATTGATTGCGCTTGTAGTAAAATGGCCGAGAGAATTGTTACGGATTATTATTAGTATTATGTTGCCGAATTCTGTGAAAGGATTTTGGATGCGTGTATGGTGGACAGGAATTTGGTGGACGGATTTGAGCAAACATTGCGATATATGAGCAGGACAGTACAGTGCGTGCGGAGGCGATGCTGTCGGGTGCGACTAGTAAGATGCGGGTAGAAACATGGGACGTCCTTGTCGGTTTAATCGACCGGCCTCTGATTTCTTCTTCTTCTTTTGCAGAAAGTGGAATGGAAAGAAACGGAAGCAACAATCCGGGGGAAAGGGGGGAAACTGAGTTCCCCAGGTAGCTCATCTCTTTGGACCAAAAGTAACACGCAAGAGCTACGTCAATGCCGCCGATGTGCCTCGTTGGTTGACCAAATCCTTTAGAAAAACGCATGCTTTCTAGTACTATATTTTTTTATCGCGACTGCTTCAGTTTCTTAACATCGGCTGAACGCTTCCAGCCCCAAAAGGTTGTATAGTTTTTTCTTCTTTTCTTTTTCGGAGACTAGATCAAGTGTAGTTAAAACACACAGATGTAGATAAAATAGTTTAAACACGCTATGACTTGTCTTGTACTCCCTTCTTAAACTAATATGAAAGCATCTTCAATAGATGGTCCAAATGTAAAAATAACTAACTTTTGGACCGTCTAGGGCAAAAACCGGTGCTCCAACAGACGATCCATATGCAAAAATATTTGGACCGCAGCCTCCTCATGATGTAAAATCCAATACCTCGCGGTGCAAATTTATATCACGAGGTGCATCTGGTCCAAAACCAGCCACCGCCCACGAACGCCCAACCGCCAGTTCCTTTCCGTTCCCGCCCGCCCGCCCGCCCGAAGACCAGCCGGCCGGAATCCGCTGCCGCGACCGCCGAAAACCACGCCGTCGGCGCTGCCACCACCCCAAATCCCCGCCGCCGCCCTCCGTCGTCGCCGCCTCCCTCACCGGTAGCCTGCTCGCAGCCGCCCGGAGGCCGCCGAATCGGGAGGCAGCCGGCGCGGGATTCGACGCCTCCGGTGGTCCGGCTGCCGCGGTAGGCCTCCGCCGGGTCTAAGGCTGCCGCCGACCTCGTCCCTGTCGGCCGTGAGCCTGTTCACGACCGTTGCGTCGGCCGAACGACCGCCGCACGACGCCCTCCGCCCGGCTGCCGAAGTACTGTTCGCCGCCCGCCGAGCTCCTCTTGGTCGGCCTCAAAGCTCTTTTCTTATCATCGCCGCCGACCGGAGGAGCCGACCGCAGCCGTCCGCAGCCGTGAGCAGCAGCCAATCCAACCGGCGGCCATCTTCTTCCACCGCGCGCACTAGGTGTTCGACGGAATTCCCCAAGGTAAAAAAAGACGAAACTTGATGATTTAACTTGGGATTGGATAGTATGTTTGATGGTGGTTGTGTGCAATGTGGATGAGCTCGGTTGACTCCTCTTTCATGGATGATACATCGTCGGACGAGGAATTTGTGTGGCTGCTGGCCGGTTTTGGTCGTGTATGCAATATGTGCAGTTGTACAGTGGCTGGACAGCGGCTGAAGAGCAGACGCGTGACTGCTGGCCGGTTTTGGACCATGATTTTGGACCATCTATTGGAGTTGGTCTTTTGGACCAGGAGAATTTGGACCATCTGTTGGAGTTGGCCTTTTTTCGGAGTTCCAAAACGTATTTTTTGGCGGTGCAAATTTTACATCTTCGGTTTTGGACCGCCAAATTTTGGACCATCTATTGGAGATGCTCTAAGAGCATTTAGAGCAACTTCAATGGGGCGACCCATTTCGTCCGCCGCCATCCGTTTGGATCGGCGCGGGCACAAAAGGCGGCCTAACGCGCCGACCCAAACAGATGCGCGTCAGCTTTTCGTCCGCCGGCGACCTATTCCTGGCCCATTTTTGAGCCGGATTTGCGTCGGCGCGTGACGCGCACACGCTCGCCTTCTCCTCCCCGGGCTCGCTGGTCAGTGGCACATTGGCCTCCCCTCATCCAATGGCAACCCTCGCCCGCCTCTTTCGTCGTCGCCGCCGCCGCCCAATTTTGCTGGCGACTCTGCCAGTTGCCGGCGCCTCCACATCCGTCCAGCAATGCCGCCCACTCCCACATCACCGGCAACCGCCGTCTTGCCGCCCCTGACTGCTTCCCAACCCCTCACCCTCACCACACAGCCGCCCCGACCAAGAAGCCGCCTCGCCGCCGGGCAGATCCTCACCGGCACGCTCATCGGACACCGACCCACTCGTCGGACGCCGACAGGGCAGCTAGCTGGTCCGTGCGCGTCGCGACTCTCTTCGTCGGCCGTCTCCTTCATCGACGCCCGCAAGTTGTTCGACAGTTTGCCAAGGTACAAAATGGACTCCGCTGACGATTTCTTTTTTCACAATTTCCTTTGTGACTCCGACGATTTGTCGTCCGATGACGAGGAGGAGATATTGGCTGCCGTGTTGGTCCATCACCACCTCAATAGCCAGCGGCCGTTGTTCCGTGGCTCCATTCCGGGCCACCTTCCGGCGTTGAATCGCAACCGAGAGAGCGGGCATTTCCTTCTTTGGAAGGACTACTTTGATACAACAAACCCATCGTTCAAACGTCAAAAATTTCGCCGCCGTTTCCGTACGAGTAGGCATATTTTCAACCATATTAGAGAGGGGGCGGTCGGCTATGATGACTATTTCGAGTGCAAAGAGGATGCCATTGGCAAGATTGGTTTCTCCTCTTATCAGAAATGCACTGCCGCCATCCGAATGCTTGCATACGGAGTGCCCAGTGATCTCATTGACGAGTACGTCCGTATGAGCGAGTCTACATGCCTAGAGTCCCTGTATAAGTTCTGCAAGGCTGTTATTGCTGTGTTTGGCCCTGAGTACTTGAGAGAGCCAACTGTTGAAGATATAGCCTGGTTATTGGCGATGAATGCCAGCAGGGGCTTCCCAGGGATGATTGCTGGCATAGACTGCATGCACTGGGAGTGGAAGAACTGCCCTTCTGCTTTGCAAGGGCAGTGTAAGGGCCATGTCAGGGCTTGCACTGTCATACTAGAGGCCATGGCGTCTCAACATCTCTGGATCTGGCACTCTTTCTTTGGCATGGCCGGATCACACAATGATATCAACGTGCTTCAGCGCTTGCCGATGTTTGCTAGGATTGTCGAAGGCAACAACCCACCGGTGAACTTTACTGTCAACGGCCACAACTACGACAAAGGATACTACCAGGGTGACGGTATCTATCCTCAGTGGACCACTATTGTAAGAAAATACCCAACCCTGTCGGGGAGAAGAGGAAAAGATTTGCCCAAGAGCAAGAGAGTGCTAGGAAGGATGTCGAGCTTGCCTTTGGTGTTTTGCAATCTTGATGGGGCATTGTTTGGTATCCTGCTAATACCTGGAGCACGCAGAAAATCTGCGAGATGATGACTGCTTGTGTGATCATGCACAATATGATCATAGAAGACGAGCGCCCGGAACGTCTGTACGATCAAGGGTTTCATTTCCAGGGTGAGAATGTTGTGCCTGAGTATGGAGGAGCGGCAATGTTTGAACAGTTCACCCAATTTCATCATGACATGCGTGATTGGGAAACTCACGTGCAACTGCAAAATGATTTGGTTGAGCATATGTGGGCTCATGTTGGCAACCAATAGATGTATCTTTATTTATTCGTTTGC